CTCTGCAGCTAGGATCCTGATGAGAGTACGGAAACATGAGCACATTACCCCCATTCTCCATTCACTACACTGGCTTCCCATCTCCACCAGAATTTAATACAAGGTTTCCCTCCTTACACATCAATGCATCCATGTTTTTAAAACAGCTTTAATTATATATATTTTTTTCATTATTATTTTTTTTGTAATTTTTACGTATTCCTTTTTTAATGCTTTTCTTTTTCTAGTACTTTGAGGTCTTTTGATGAAAAGTGCAGTATAAATCAAATGTATTATTATTATTATTATATATTAACATTTACTTGACAACAAAAACATTGTGGTTAATTATGCACATCCGTATACTAACATAAAATATAATAAGTACAGAATTCATGTTCTTTTCAGAACTAGATTTTGTGTCATATGGGGTAAAGAGGAAATGATTTGTCTCTGCAAGCCAATAGGAGTATTCAGTGAAATCATAGATAACTATTTAAAAAAAAAAATTGTAAATTAATTTATAATTTTAATTAATTTATGTAGATATTAGTACTTGTAAATATATATTTTTTTGCAGAATGACTATTGATAAAAGTAAAAGATGTTCGCCCCAGAACACAAACCTGAAAGAATTGTATCTACTAAACCTTTTAAAATAAAATAAAAAACAGGGCAAGGGATTCAAATATATTAAGATAGCTGCATGAAGTGAAATTTCTATTCAATTAGCTTTAATGAAATTCTGTTTCTTATTAGGTCAATGTACATTCATAATTTAGGAATTTTACAACATATTTCTGACTTAATTTACTTTAAAATGATCGTTTTCTACAAAATCTGAATTAGAACTCAAGAAAAACTGACAAATTCAGCCATAAAAATTAGAGCAATTTGTTTTGAAACAAAATTAGCAAATGAAAACTATGATCGTGTCTTAATACTACTGAAGGTATCCCCTTATTGTTTTTAAATAACTAGTAAAACAGAATTTGTGAAGAAATTAGCTAGATCCAAAGGACCTATCAGTAACAATTTCTGTCCCAGCACATATCATCATTTGAATTTCTTTGAGTATTATGTCTTCAGTAGAAGGTCCATAACAGGGGCCAAGACATGGGCAACAGAGGCACTGGCCCCCGTTGGCCCTTGTCTAGAACCACCTACGCAAAAAGTCTTCAGGAAATGGAAAAATTGATAGAAATATTTAGAATTATGCAATAATTTCTTTATTTTTCTCAGTTGTGATAATACTGTAATAGTATTTACGTGGGTAAATAGCCTTAGCATTTTAATTTGATTGCAAAACAATGTCAGTAATGTTATAGTAATAGAATTGTATCCACTATATCTTTTATCTAGGAAGATATTTAAATATATGTGTCTATTTTTTTTTTTAGCAAAGGCTGTAGGAATGTATATTTTGTCTTCATTTAGAAAATATGGATGTTGTGCTCATTAATTTTTCATGTTGGGACAGTGTAGATTGACCCTGAGGTTCTGGCTCCTATCCCCTTTTGGCGACCCCCCATGCTACGTTCACACCAGACGCAGCAAAAGCAGCAAAATCGCGTCTGCTGCTTCATTTTTGCTGCTTGTACCAGTTAGTTCTGACGCGAGGCTGAAGCAGCTTTGCTGCTCTGGCTGCGCGGTGCAAAAGTGGGTGTGACGCGCGTCACTATCCTTTCTCTGCCTTGCAGCTATATTTGCTGTGATCAGTGGGAATAAAGTCGTTTTAATGTTTTTAAGTGGGAAAATCCACCTGAAAACTTAATCAATGCAGCCAGTTCATCTAGATTACAATCCTGCCTTCCAATTTTATTTCTCTGTGGCGCTCAGACCCCCACATATCAGCGGTGCACTGTCAGTAGGATCCCATTCCACAGCAGCCTCTGGCCCGGTCGCCTCCTCACAGTACGGCAGCTGGTAGATGTTTTTCATCTAAATAATCCAAACTGCAGGCACCAGGATAATAAGAGCTAACATATTCTTCCGGCAGATTTCTGCATTTTAAGTTAATTTATGCGTCAATAAACTGTTTCAGAGGAGTGATCATAGCGCTCTGTATCATCAGTGATGTGTCTGTTTCTCTGCCAGCTCCCAGATCAGCTTCTCTGATTAGTTGACGCGGCGCGTCGAGCAGCAAAAATTCAATTTTTCCATCTCCAGCAGCAGGGCGTTTTCGGCGCGTCAGATGCTTAAACGTGCCAGATGCGCTGTGCCTGCTGCTCAAAACGCGCCGCGGGACCTTTTGCTGCTCCTTGACACGAGTCAACCATTGACTTTGTATGTAAACTCGCTGCTTCTGCCGCGCCTGCTGCGTCCGGTGTGAACGCAGCAGTGTACATTGGTTATTGCCTTGGCCACCCTTGTAAGAGATTTTCTGGCTTCGCCCCTGCTCACCAAACAGCAAAGTTGTGAACTCTGAACTCAACTGTACAAGACCAAGACTTCGATATCGCGTGAATTGGTTTCAATCTATTATTTGGAGCGTTTCCTCAGAAACTATAACCTCTGGCTCCGTTCCCTGTCATTTTGCATTGAGCGGATCCAGGAACCGCCTCCGTTGCGCCCGCCCCGTCCAGACTCCCCTCTTCTCTGTCTCTCTCTCGCTCACACACGCGCAGCCTGTCCGGGTAGGATGGGAGCAGAGCAGTAGCCACATATCCGCGCGCGCCTGACCGCTAACACTACTTCCTGGACCCAAAAAGAATGGGACATTTTCAGCAACACCTTTCCTCTCCAACCTCCGTCTCGCCGACGCCGCGGATAATCACTTCATAATGCTTTTGCATGATCAATAATATCCGACCACTTTTTTTCCTCTGTAGTTAACGACAGCGATTGATTGCCGATTGACTCTTCCCCCCCCCTTTTTTTTCTCCCTACACCTCGGGAATGTCGCTATGTGGAAGCCCGCTGCAGACACTCCAACAACCACCGATTCTGAATTGTTTTCGCCTCTTGCCTGCTCGCCTCTTTATTCCTCGAAGCTAATGAGAGCACCCCGCTCCGGAGGCGAGTAAATCTGGCTTATTTTTAATAAAAACACTGACTGTATCCTGTGACCGTCAAAGCGTTTCTGTACTTTGATGCTCTCTGCCTTCGTGGCCGCCGTGACAACTTCGGCTTTAGTGTGTGCGTGATTCTTTCTAAAGGACAAGAAGAGGAGAGGGGGTAAAAAAAGGACTAACTTAATCACCCGTTGCCTTTTCTTGTTGCTCTCGATGAGTATTCTAACATGCGGAAAATACGGGAACCGAGTCACTGGTGGATTTTAACCCTGCTGTTTTTAACCTTGCCCGAAAACAAAGACTGTCAGCCCGGTAAGTACTTGCAACAAGGCTTCTTTTCTAGCTCTTATTTATTTTGCTCCCTCTCACTATCTCCCATCTTCAGGGATAACGTTTTCGGTCGGGTTGTTAATGGTTTCTGGGCCGAGCCGACATTAGAAGAACTGGATCAGCCTCCCGTCATTTGTGTGCATGTTATTGATTACGCAGCTGGCGCAAACTATCCCTGCGTCAACCTTCAAACGGCTGCATGCATCCGGCCATCCGGCGGCTCTTTGACCTTTTTGTTTTTCTTCCCTTTCAGACTTACACCGGTTTATACAGTCCAAACGGTAAAATCCTCAAAGAAATAAGGGCTCTATTAAAATAGCTCCGACTTCAACACATTAACCCGTGAAATTAATCACATCACGTGAGCCGCATGTCTTTGTTAGTGACATGAGGTGGTCCAAGTTTTAATCCCGGGTTATGATAGTTGGGAACAGTTTAAATCGAGCATGTCATGTTTTCTGAGCTTGAGGGGACAGTAGTTATCTTTTGGATCCAATCTAGATTATTCAGTATATGAGGGGAGATTAATGACATATGTTTGGATAGTTCATTTATTGGTTAGTTTTTGGTGCCCTGCCCACTTGCATGCAAATTCCTATTGAGCAATAAGCAAATATTGGGATAAGTTATTACAGTTACACCTCAATCATAGGTACAAATAATCCAAATTAAGCCCTGATTTAGGATTATTTTATCTTGGTTGCTCCAAAATTGGACTCAGCTTCCATTTGGATTAAACAGTCAAAAAGTCAGTGGTGGTTCTAGACCAAATGTTCCTGGGGGCCAAAGTGTTTCTATGGGGGCCCGGAAAAGCATGAAATAAAAAAAAAAGGGCAAAGGGTTCAAATATATTGAGATAGCTGCATGAAGTGAAATTTCTATTCAATTAGGTTTAATTGAAATTCTGTTTGTTATTAGGTCAATATGCATTCATAATTTAGGAATTTTACATATTTTTGACTTAATTTACGATAAAATTATAGTTTTCTATAAAATATGAATTAGAACTCAAGAAAAACTGATAATTTCAGCCATAAAAATTAGTTTTTAATTTGTTTTGAAACAAAATTTAGCAAATTAAAACTGGGATCCTGTCTCAATACCACTGAAGGTATCACATTATTGTTTTTAAATAGTTAGTAAAACAGAATTTGTGAAGAAAAGAAATTAAATAGATCCAAAGGACCTATCAGTAACCATTTCTGTCCCAGTGCATATCATCATTAGAATTTCTTTGAGTATTATGTCTTCAGTAGAGGGGCCATAACAGGGGCCAAGACATGATCTACAGGGGCACTGGCCCCCGTTGGGCGTTGTCTAGAACCGCCCATGCAAAAAGTCTTTAGGAAATGGAAAAATTGACAGAAAGATTTAGAATTATGCAATAATTTCTTTATTTTTCTCAGTTGTGATAATGCTGCAATAATATTTATGTGGGTAAATATCCTTTGCATTTTAATTTAATTGCAAACAATGACAGAATAATGGTAACCTATTTTTAAAACGTTTTTATACTATATTCAGGGCAAAAAACAGCCTGAATTGTACTCTAAAATGTTGTTAAATATTCAGCCTGTATAGAGAGCTGGTAAGATTTGTTTCTATGTCTTTACAATTTGTTTCTGGGGGGGAAAAAAAGTCAATTTTTCCTCAGGAATTGGAACAGCAATAAATGTCAGTAATGTTATCAGAGTAATAATAAAAGTCTGACCAACCCAAGTGACCAGTTCTGGAGTAATTTGGACATGACAAGGTGTGATGACATTTACCTGAGTTGCTAAAAATGTAATTTGTAGTTTAGGTGTTGTGTGTTTAAAATCAGCTCATATAGCCCATCATAAGTCCAGGCGTTCTTGTGTGAAACAGGTCTGCTTTTAGAACATTATCATCCTAAATCAATAATATTCTGAATTTACCAGATTGTTTTTACATATTATATAGATTTCCTGATACTAAATATAAACTGTCACTGGCACACCTATAGAAACCATCAAATTCACAGTGGTTCATAACTTGTCTTTGCAAACTGGTGGAATAAGACTATAGAACATAAATAGGACTGTATAGCGTTACTGTATAGTAACACTGCACTGACCCTCCCCCACCTGTTGCACACTGTTGGTAAAGGTTATCTGTATCGTCAACAAAATTTGACCATGTTATTTATTGCTTTTGGCTTTTACTGAAGGTTATTATTTTATCTGATTTTCATACCTACATGAGCTACATGATAAACAAAAATAAATACCAGATGAGAGTAAAGTGGAATTTATTAATTAGATGACTTTTATGGTTCTAAAAGATCCATATGATCTACATATACTTTTAATTGACAGAAGAGAGTACAGCTGTAGCAATTATCATTATAAAAATGAATTTTTAAATATTAGAAACAGTTACGGATAAAAATATGGAAAAATCTGGAATTTTAGGACTTGGCTTATTGATCACAATGAAAGAGTGCAGCTGAGAACTGGGAGGTCAGACTTGTTAAACGTCATGAATTGGGCCCCAAATAGTAATAAACTGCCGTCACATTGTTTACTTTATACATTAGTAATATTTGCAATGTATCACATTTCTTAAAAATGACTGTATTTGCTAATAAAACAGCTATTTGATATGGTGAATTATTTTGCCTATATTTAAGCCCATATAAAAATAATCAGAAAAGGTGGTTTTAATTAAGAAAAATATTAATTTGTAAAATTATAGTATTGGGTACCTGAATAATCACTATGCAAAATAATCTATTAAAGAAAACACTGAAATTTAAGACAATGAGAGACTGTATTTGGACCATTGTTTACTTTGGAAAACACATGTATAAGATGTCAATACAGAAATGTCAATCAATGGCTGCTGCCTAAAGTCACGAAACAATGTTAGCAAAGTTTGTTTTGTGTTTGCATTTAAAGTTTAGGAATCCATGTGTTCCATACTTAAGTGCAAATTCACAGAATTACATTGAAAGTCTCAAAGCTGATTTTTTTTTTAAGCAAAAAAAAGATTAAATAGAATTGTTAAAGAAGCAGAGCATCACAATCAATTTAAAGATAGATTGTGATACAGAAACAACGTCTGGGGTTTAAAACAAGCTGTTTCTACTGAAGGCAAAGTGCGGTGTGGTTTTTGAGGAATATCTTCATTAAAAGCAAAAAGTGGCAACAAAATTTTTAATGTGCAAATGTATTTCACTGAAATTGAAATACTGACAGTTTTCTGTCAACATTTGAATCATGATGGGAATATATAAGCTGCAAATATTAAACAGGATACAGTTATTGCCGTTAAACAGTGACACAGTGGATAAAATCTTTTTAGGATGTGATGATTAAGGGTAAGGAAGAAGTAGACCCATTTTCTGACACGTTGGGTCACTGTTTCTTATCCTTTTTTGCAATTTAATTAAAATTAGAGATGCAACCATGAATCAAAAAGCAAAATATTAGTTTTCTATGAGTGACCCTAGCCAACGACCCAACCTCATTAAATGAATAACACAATCTCAATTTTAATTTCAATCCGTACGCTCATCGGCAAGCAGCGGGTTCTTTGATGCACTTTGTTTTGAGCATTGCTAAAAAGATAAAGGGCGAGAGGCATAAATGAGGATAATCTTGTAATTCCTTAGCTTTTCTGGTCTGGATTCAAAACTACTACCTCCATGAAAGGAAGCTGTTGTGTTTTTTTTTCTTTATGGTCAGTTCTTCACAGATTTAATGAAGAAAAGTAAGATCATTTATTAAACAAGTGGATTTGCCTGCATTATACTCCTGTGAGGGTGAGGATTTTCCTGATCACCTGATCTTACATACAGATAACTGGAAATTTGTGTCAGCGAGCCAGTAAAACCTAATCGATTAATTTTTGATTGAATTTGTGTAATGGTTTCTAAGAAATCCTGAAGCCCTTATCATTCTAGGGTTGTCAAAAATTCACCAAAATAATTTGTCGTCAAACACTGCTTCTGGATTAGGGCTGGGCAATAAATGGTATTTGTAATTATATTACAAATGCCATTAATTGTGTTAATATAAATACAAATTAACAATGCATAATTCAATATACATATTAACATAACACTCGGATGCATCTGCATGCTAGCTGCAACTCTCCTCACTTCTATGTAGCGACAAACCTACTTTGAGTGATTTACTGTTTTGGGCTTGAGTGAGAAAGTCAATGTCTTACTATTATTACATGCAATGAGATTAAAATGGAGTGGCTTCTGCAATTTGAAGACTGCATTTTAAAATTTGAGATTACGTTGGAAAGGCTATTAATTGTCGAGCCCTAGTTAGTGTTAGATCTCTACATTATTTCCACATTAAAAGAATGTATCATTCTTTTAATGATATTTGTTTGACATATTTATGATACATTTGTGATACGATACATTCAAACATAAAATACTGCCAACAGGGTTGTGTTCTATTTGTTTTTTATTTTGCAGCTATTTGCACACTTTTATAACTATCATATGTGATTATGTTGATATGCCACGTTGCATGTTACATTGAAAAAATTTTTTTTATGATAATAGAAATATTGTTATGACTTTGAATATTTGCAATTTTTCAAAATCTTAATATCTTTTTAATTGTAGTGCAGCGCATTGGGGCTATTACTCGAAGCATAAAGTATAACATTAGTAAATAGAAGAATACAATTTTTTGTAGTGAGAAGAAAATGGAAAACTTTAGTAAGAAAGCAAACAAGAGTCCAAAGCTGCAAGGTCTAAATGTCCCCCATTTTTAAAAACCTTATCTTTGACATTTTATTTCTCATTCTACTTTAAATGCTAATGCTTTTTTTATGTAATCCAGACTCTGCTTAAACAAGCATAGTCTGTATGGTCAAAGTTCTTATATTCAAAATCTCTAACTAACATATAGTCAAGATGGCCCTATTTATATTTTTATTTTCCAAATTGTCCTTGCATATATTCATATACTGCAATTGCTTATATTCAGTAGCAA